AAAGAAAGAAAGAAAGAAAGAAAGAAAGAAAGAAAGAAAGAAAGAGAAAGAAAGAAAGAAAAGAGAGAGAGAGAGAAAGAGAGAGAGAAAGAGAGAAAGAAAGAAAGAGAAAGAAAGAAAGAAAGAAAGAAAGAAAGAAAGAAAGAAAGAAAGAAAGAAAGAAAGAAAGAAAGAAAGAAAGAAAGAAAGAAAGAAAGAAAAAGTGAGGGACTAAGCATGTGTAGGAGGAGGCATTGCAGACCCCAGAGGAAGAGGAAGGCAGGACCTAGTGTTGTCTGTGTATTCGTAACTCCCCCACTCTATGGTACCTGACCTGCTCCCAATGATCAGCGCCTGGTCAGTACCAGGGACAGCTCCTGTCTTTGTTGCTCTCCTCCCTCCCTTTCTTTCTCCTCAGTCACAGTTCCACCTGGGCTGCCTCTCAGGCACCCCAGCCTTCTCAGTAAGATCTGAGGAACAGGCCTGGGTTCTCCCCACTCCTGTCTGTGAGCTTGAGTCTCCTTAGAGGTGATAGAACTGATTACTTTTATAACTGTCTCCTTCCCCTGTTCTTTTCCCAGCCTTTGCACAAATTCTGTGTTCATTCTTCATTCTCGCTTAATCTCTTCCCATGCCAGTCTTTCATGTGCCATCCCCTGAGGCCACTCTGTCCCCCGGCCCTTACCCCATTCTCACCTTACTCTTGATTTCTCATTCAGTTCTCTTCTACTACATGCTATCTAGTGTCTTCGTCCTCTTCTCTCCCTCCCACTAACCAATATAGCACATACAAGACAGGAGAATGAGAAGTCAAAAATCCCGGCTTCTGAAATCACACCTGGGTTTATACTGAATGTGCTACTGACTCGCTGTGTCTTGTTAGACAGGTAGTTAGCTTCTTTGAATCTCAGTCTCCTCACCTATAAAATGGGACAGTTCTTACTGGGAAGACTGTAAACGCTAAGAATGTAGTGCCCAGTGAGCAGTAATGCTGAATGTTTGCCTGCCTGACCGACTGTGGGTAATAGCAATGCTTTCAGTACATGTGATATACAAAGGACTACTTTGTAAGGTTTTATGTCTAAATTGTTTTGACCCAACAATCCTATTAGGAGTACTATTGCTACGAGCCCCATTCTGCAGATTAGGAAACAGCCATGGAGACGTTGGAGCTGCTCAAACTGGAGTAGCTATTTTCAGGGAGTGGGCGTTTCTGGAAGGCCGGCATTGGGCTGAACCTGAAAACTGCCAGAGTGGAGAGGAGAGCCAGAGGAACTACAACACCCACAAGGCTCCGCGTCTTCCCCCGAAGCACTTCCTATTGGCCTTGGGCTCTGTGGCCAACCATTGGTTGTGGCAGGTTTGGTAGCGAGGATTGGAGGGCGGGAGCCGTGCTGGTTTAAGATCGGTAAAATTGCTGTTAGCCCCGCCTCAGAACCCGGAAGTAATCTCTCAGGTTGACTCACGTGTGGTGAGCAAACGCTTGTTCAGATGCGCGGCTGGGTCGTCCCGTTTGCGGAATGACTGACTCCCTAGCTTCCCGCCTTCACCAAGCGACTCTGACCCATTGAGGGCTGCTTTTGAGGCCGCGTGGATCGGTCGAGGGAGGTCCTCGCAGCTTCCCGTCATCTAAGCTCTGCCTCATGGAGTCTACCTTCAGCAGTCCCGCAGAGGCGGCGCTGCAGCGGGAGGCGGGGACCGCGGGGCTGCTCACTCCTGATGCGGACCTGGACCGAGTGTACGAGCTGCAGCGAGTCGTCGAATTTGTTCGTGACCTGGGGTGTCAGCGGGTGAGGGCTGGTTAGGGAGGAGTGGCTCACCTCTTTGGGAACGGGTCGCCCAGAGGACCGGGGTCCTGGGGTAATTTTATGGGAGTGGGCGAGGCGCTTCTCCGGGACGAGCGAGGCATAGAAGGTTGGCTGGGTAGGGACTCAACCAGGAAGGTTTTCTTTGAAGAGACCCTCGGTGAAGGAGACCAGCTGGGTTCCTGACCATGTTTATGCTTACAGGTGGCCTTGCAGTTCCCTGACCAGCTATTGGGAGATGCTGAGGTTGTGGCTGCGCGACTGGAGGAGACTACAGGGTCGAAAATGTTCATTCTGGGGGACACAGCCTATGGCAGGTGTGAACCTGAGCTTAAGGATGGAGTGTAGGGTAGGCCTAGGGACCCAGAGTTTGTGATGTTTCCCCCCTATTACAGTGCCTGCCTCTAATGGCTGTTTCTCTTTGATGATTATTGATGACTGCCCTGATACTAGCTCCTCTCAATGACAGTGTCTTTTCTAATATCATTTTCTTCACTGACCACATTTCCCATTGATGACCCCAACTTTCTGATGAAACCCTTCTCACTAATGGTATCTCCCTTGCAGCTGCTGTGTGGATGTGCTGGGTGCTGAGCAAGCTGGAGCTCAGGCCCTTGTACATTTTGGCCCTGCCTGCTTAAGCCCTCCAGCCCGCCCACTGCCGGTGGCCTTTGTCTTTGGTCAGCGTTCTGTGGCCTTGGAGCTCTGTGCCAAAGCCTTTGAGGCCCAAAACCCAGACCCCACAGCTCCTGTGGTGCTGCTGAGTGAGCCGGCCTGTGCCCATGCCCTGGGTGAGGGGTTTTGCCTGTGCATGCAGGGAGGGTGGGTCAACTACTTTGTGCCTTATTTCCCCATTTCAGTACACTCCCATAGAGTTCTCGATATGGACTTGACCCCAGCCTTTGATTTTGGGTCACACTCAGTCTTCTGGGGTCTAAGGGAGCTCTTGCTTTGCCAGGCCCCAACCCTGACACCTCCTCCTTCTTCCAGAGGCGTTGGCCACTCTCCTGCGCCCACGGTACCTGGACCTGCTTGTCTCCAGCCCAGCTCTTCCCTGGCCAGTGGGCTCCCTCAATTCAGAGCCTGAGCCCCTGGAGCGTTTTGGGCGTCGCTTCCCCCTGACCCCAGGGAGGTGCCTGGAAGAGTATGGTGCTTTCTATGTAGGAAGCTCTGGGGCCAGCTCTGACCCTGACCTCGACCCTGACCTGAGCCGGCTGCTCTTGGGCTGGGCACCAGGGCGGCCCTTCTCCTCCTGCTGCCCAGACACAGGGCGGACTCAGGATGAAGGTGCCCGGGCTGGGCGGCTAAGAGCACAAAGACGATATCTGGTAGAGAGGGCCAAAGATGCTCGTGTGGTAGGGCTGCTGGTGGGCACATTGGGTGTGGCCCGACACCGTGAGGCACTGGCACACTTGCGGAAACTGACTCGGGCTGCTGGCAAGCATAGCTATGTGTTAGCTCTGGGGCGGCCCACACCTCCCAAGCTTGCCAACTTCCCTGAGGTAGATGTCTTTGTGCTGTTGGCCTGTCCTCTTGGTACCCTAGCTCCCCAGCCTTCTGGTAGCTTCTTCCGGCCTGTATTGTCACCATGTGAGCTGGAGGCTGCCTGCAACCCTGCCTGGCCATCTCCAGGCTTGGCTCCTCACCTCACACACTACGCAGACTTATTGCCTGGTGAGTGGTGGGGCACTGCCTGAGCTGGAAACATTTGGGGCATGGAATCAGGGGGCCAGTATGGATCATCTTTTTCCCTCCTAGGCTCTCCCTTCCATGTGCCCCTCCCGCCACCTGAATCGGAACTGTGGGACACCCCAGATGTGTCACTCATTACTGGGGAGCTCCGACCCCCACCTGCCTGGAAGCCATCAAATGATCCTGGATGCTCAGCCGTGACCCCGCGGCCTCAGCTGGAGCTGGTTGAGAGCAGCCCTGCAGGTAAGTGTGCCAAGTCTCTACTCCCATCTGAACTCTTCTCCCAGATTCAGCCCACTCAGCTTCAGTCTCCTTTCTTTGCAGCCTCTTTCCTTAGTTCCAGGAGCTGGCAAGGGCTGCAGCCTCTCCTGGGTCAGACACCAGTGACAGGAGCTGTGAGTGGAAAACGAGGAATTGCCATAGCCTATGATGATGAGGGAAGCAGCTGATACCATGTGGAGACAGAGACACAGATGGACTTAAGAATCACAGCTAACTCTTCCAGTCCCAGGTGCTTTGGGAGCTGTGGGCTTCAGTGCAGATATGGCCAAGTCCAGGAACCACACCATGCACAACCAGTTCTGAAAATGGCACAGAAACAGCATCAAGAAGGAAGTAGACCCCAAGTTCCTGAGAAACATACACTTTGCCAAGAAGTACAACAAGAAGGGCCTGAAGAAGAGTCAGGTCAACAATGCCAAGGCCATGAGCACACTCACTGAGGCTATCAAGGCCCTCATAAAGCCTAAGGAGGTCAAACCCAAGATCCCAAAGAGCAATAGCCGCAAACTCAATTAACTTGCCTACATCACTCACCCCAAGCTTGGGAAATGTGCTTATGTTAGCATTGCCAAGGGTCTCAGGCTCTGTTGCCAAAGGCCAAGGCAAGGCTCAAGCCAAGCCTCAGGCTGCAGCTATAGCTGTAGCACAGGCTCAGGCTTCCAAAGGTGCCCAGACCCCCATGAAGGCTCCACAGTAGAGGCCTCTGTCTGCCGATGTGAGGGCAGAAGGACTGGTGACCCCTGGGCTGCTTCTGCATGGAGCTGGTGTCCTCCTGTGCTATTTGTACAAATAAACTTGGGGCAGGATCTGTAAAAAAAAATAATAATAATAATCACTGCTAAGACCTTTTAGTGCTCCCTGTACCAACCTCACCCCTCTGCCAGGATCTTTGAAGGAGCCTGGATGGAGGGAGGGCAGGCAGCCTCTCACTGAGGATAGGATCCAGCTTTGCCTTGTTCTGGCACTGGCACAAGGCTTAGCACATACTGGCTTAGTAAATGTCTGATGTTTGATGGGGACCGATTTGGAGTATTCCTAAAGGCTTCTAGGCCCATCTGTTCTGGGAGCAGCCCAGGACCTCTGGCTAATCCCAGTTCTGATGTGCAGTTGAGGGTCTGCCCTTTTCAAAGGCAGATTATAGATGGTCTAGACCAGGGTTTCTCGGCACAACTGACATTTTGGGCCATGTAATTCTTTGTTGAGAGCGGCTGTTTGCATTGTAGCATGTTCAGCATCATCCCTGATTTCTTCGCACTAGACGCCAGTAGCATACCCCTTCCCAATTGTGATAATCAGAAATGTCTCCAGATGTTGACAAATGTGCCCTGTGGGGGCAATATTGCCTCCAGATGAGAACCGCTGGTCTACACCTGTGCCATCCAGTATACCAGCCAGTAGACACATGGCTACTTAAACATAGTTTAACTGAGATTAAAAACTCAGTTTCCTTCCCTGGCTGAGTAGCTCAGTTGATTAGGGCATCATCCTGATATGCCAGCCACGGTTGCAGGTTCCAATGAATGTGTGAATGGGTGGAGCAACAAATCAATGTTTCTCTCCCCTTTTCTCTAAAAAAAATTAGAAAATCAATCAATAAAAAATATAAGAGGTTAACACAGGTATAGGACATTTCCTTCATCACAGAAAGTTCTGTTGGAGCCCAGCCAGGCGTGGCTCAGTGGTTGAGCATCGACCTAGGATCCATGCAATCAGGGTTCGGTTCCCGGTCAGGGCACATACCCAGGTTGCGGGCTGCAGCCGATCAATGACTCTCTCATCACTGATATTTCTATCTCTCTCTCTCACCCTCCCTGAAATCAATAAAGATATATTAAAAAAAAAAAAAAGAACTGTTGGACAGTGCTGATCTGTACCGACTCTGATTTGTTTCTCAGGGAGATCACAGAAACTTGAATAAACCAGACACTTTTTCTCCTGTTTTTTGTTTGTTTTTAAATATATCTTTATGGATTTCAGAGAGAGGAAGGGAGAGAAGAGAGAGAGAGAAACATCAATGATGAAAGTCATTGACTGGCTCCCTCCTGCATACCCCCTACTGGGGATGGAGCCCGAAACCCGGGATGTGCCCTGACTGAGAATCATACCATGACCTCCTGGTTCATAGGTCAACACTTAACCACTGAGCCACGTTGGCCGGGCCTCCTGTTTCTTTTTATTCATCACACACTGCAGGTCCTGCACAGGTCCTGTGTGTGGAAATCTGAATTGTAGTTTATTGGATTCCTGTCCTCACAGTGTAATTGGGAAGAGAGGTGGTTAAATAGGCACTTACCACACAGTGAAACTAATCTGTGAGGAGGGAAGCCCACAGGGGCAGCTGGAGCTCAAAAAAGGCTTCCCAGAATGAGTGATATGTAAGCTGTATCTCTTGGAGGAAAAAATAGGAGAGAAGTGAAAAGGACATTTAACAAAGGATACACCATGCTTAAATACACGCATGACCCAGCACGG